AACTACAACCAACAACTCAGCTCCCCCTGGTGGACAGTCACCTTAACTACAACCAACAGCTCCCCCTGGTGGACAGTCACCTGAACTACAACCAACAACTCAGCTCCCCCTGGTGGACAGTCACCTGAACTACAAGCAACAGCTCCCCCTGGTGGACAATCACCTGAACTACAACCAACAGCTCCCCCTGGTGGACAGTCACCTAAACTACAAACGTTACCGGAAAATAACCAGAAGACCTGAAACTTTCTGGAAGATGAAAGTAAAATAAAATTAAACAAAAACAAGAAATAAAACCAACAAATTAAACTCACAGACCAAAACATTTCTGTGGGAGTTTATATCTATGCAAAACCACAAACTGCCCCAGGTCTTGCACAAAACTGTTCTTCTGATTGTTCGTGATCATCTGTGGCATTTGTTGGTTTGACAATCTGGAGGAAATTATCTGAAAATAATCTGATATTTAGGAGAAGGTTTGTCTTCTGTCCGTCTCACCCTCTGAGGACACAAACTGTCCAACAGCCAGCGACCCGCCTCCTCCCGACTCCACGAATTCCACCTCGGACACGATGATGTTGTCCTCCAGAACCGAGCCGCAGCCCATGCAGACGGCGTCGCCGCGGGCCGGGTCCACGTCGATGTCCGACCCGCCGCATGCCTTGCACACCCTGGAGCTCATGGCGCCACTCGGAGAGCCTCAGAACCTGAAAGAAACTGAAAATAAAACACTCGGTTAAAGATTTAAAAACAAGCCGGGACGGTTGAAACTAAAATGATTCAATCTTTGGGCAGCTGCTCGACTTTAAACCAACTGAAACTCACGTGTTTTAAGTTTTTTATTTTTTTATTTTTTTTTATTGCTCAACTGCAACTAATTTTTAGTATAAAAATAATTTAGGATAAGAAAACTAAAATGTGAATGTGCAGAAACTGCTTCTTTACCTAAAGTATCTTTCAGTATGACAAGGGCAGAATAAACTGGGAGTTATTTAAATTTAACAAAATATTTAAATTAAATTTAACGTCCTTTGACAGATTGCATTAATAGATCTTTGAGCCCTCAGAGTATTATTTAATTATTTATTAACCAGGTAAATCCCATTAAGATCACAGATCTCTTTGGCAAGGGAGGTCTGGGCCTGAAGGCAGCCTAACATGCATGTTTTTGGTCTGTGGGAGGAAACCGGAGCACCCGGAGAAAACCCACACAAGCACGAGAAGAACATGCAAACACCACACAGAAAGACCCCAGGTCCAACTGGAGATTGAACCCAGGACCTTCTTGCTGTGAGGCAACAGTTCTAACCACTGAGCCGTCGTGCTGCGTAATGTGTTGGGGATGACTCAGCTACTACCACACTCAAATTTGATTCAGTATATATAAAACTGACTGAGTCGTGACCATTTTTGTTTGCTAAGGTCAATTAGCTGTGTCGGCCATCTTTAATCAAGTTGACTCCAAAAGCTAATCAGTTGCAGACGAACATCTAATGACTTTTTTTAAAGAGTTCTATTAAAATATTTCAAGCTGTTCATGAGATATTTTGCCAACAGACACTAGGACATTAATGCTTATGTTTTAAGGAAGTGTCATGCAACACGTTAGCCCTCTGAGTATATGTTGGGTTAGACGCTCAGCTACTACCACCCCAAATTTTAAATCAATATCTGAATAATTAGCGTAGTTATTTATGGGCCGGAGCTCAGTCATGGCAGCCATCACCATCAGTGTTCATCACCACTACAGCTGCATCAGGACCGCCCCGCCTCCACTGGCAGCTCTCGTTTGTTGGTTTTTTGCAGACCCACCCTGCGTGTTTTGACAGGAGTCGCCGCTGTGTCAGTTCTTCAAATTTAACAAGATTAACACCTAAAGACTATTGTTTTGTTTGCTCCAGATTATAGCAAAGGTGCGTCTCCGTTTACCTTTGATTTATTTTTCCCAAAAACTTGCGATATTCTCTCCGTGAGTGTCAGTCTTGCTGAAATGTGATGAATGGAACTCAAGAAATGCTCAAATGTGAAAATACATTTTTTTTTTAATCGAGTCTGTCGATCACGTTTGTCTAGTTTGCCAGAATCATCACGTCCTGCATTTTTTTTAAATTTTCCAAGAACTTTTCGTGACCAAAAAGTTCATAAATAGAACGTGTCAAACACAACAAAGATCAGTTCTCAAACCTTAGATCCACCAAAAATATTGAATACATTTGGAATAAATATGGAATAAATGATGACACTCTTAAACGGGCCGGTAAAATCTATGATTTTTTTTTTTTGCATAAGTCGGAGCCTGGAGGCCACCTGTCAATCAACAGCAGGCTCGTCAGCAACTGACCAATCCGTGACATAATTTGTCCCAAAGGTAAACGGTCCTCACCTGCAGGAGCTCCACCCACTTTTCCTCCAACATTGTTGGGGTTTTGCATCATGAATACTTTGTAGTCAGAGGGATTTCATGAACAATCATCAGAAGAGCTTTTAATTCAAACAGCGTTACCCTGAGTGTTTAAAGGATGGAATACAGTTTATTACATTTATAAAACCTAAACCGAGTCTGAAAAAATGCAAAAGATGATACAGCCCTGCAGCCGACCTCATGATCAGCTGACTACAAACAGGAAGTACCACATGTTCATCTGTATTTTTGTCATAATTACATTTTATGCTTAACGGTTAAATTAAAAGGTTAATGCTTAAAGCTAGTTGTGCTTTGCGTGTTTTATATGTAGATATGTTTCAACATGGTTGTTTGTATGATCAGTTAACACTAAACTGATTGTGCCATGATCTTTGAAATAGTTATTGAATCAAGTGTTTGTTTATGTAGGTAAACATGGATGTTTAAAACCTGTTAAAATACACCAGAACGCTGGAAATGGCATCTACTTTATTCACTTCTTTTGGGGGGGGAGGACCCCCAGATCCCCCCCAGCAGTGTGTGCCCCACACATTACAAATGCTTTTGACGCCAATGAAATAATCATCCGGAAAAAAAAAGATTTACATGCAGAAAAAAGAGGAATTAAAAGTTTTCAAAAGTAATATCTCAGAATGAGTGCAGCTTCCTCACGTGGCAGAAATCTAGAAATCATAAAATATAAAGAAAATGACGTTCTGATGTTGTAAAGTGTTGGAGTTGCCCTTTAACTCATGTTCTCATATTTGTGAATTTTAACTTGTGATGGAACCGTTTCCTTACAGAGGAAACAGATGTTAATAGAAAGTGCAACACCTTATTTTATTTTTTAGTATTTAATATTTGTATTATTTTCTTTATTTTTAAGGTTTGAATACATGAACACTTATCTGAACAGAATATAGATTCTTATCTTGTTGAAAAGGATGTTGGAGAGAATAATCGTGATATAAAGTGGGACCTGAGGCATGAAACTCCAGGGCTGCAAAGGAGTCCCTGTTTGAAGGTACATCTACTTGATGTTTTCGGAGCGTTTCTGTCAAATCCAATCAGTGGTTCAAGAGATATTTTGCTAACAACACATGCGCACTGGGTCTCATCATGGCAGAAAACTAAACTGTATTAGTTTATTTTATAATCACCCTTAAAGTCTGAAAAATCCCAACTGCATCAACTTCAAGACAAAATTATAATTAACTGAAGTTGCGACCCTAATAAATCACCCAGGGCCGCATAAGGCCCACGTGCCGTACTTTGGACACCCCTGGGTGTAAAGTGTGCTCACTGATCCTGCCTCTGGACCAGGACCAGAACCTCCAGACGTGAGGTCATCGGGGTCTAGCAGCACGTTAGGTGCGGCCCTGGAGGTGATCCCACACCGGAACGGTTCTGAGTGAGTTCGGTTGTTTGGGTCCGGTTCGGATGCTGCCCCCCTCCTATCAACCGGCCAGTGACGTGGCACCTCCCGGCAGGAGAAAGGAGTTCATGTGCGCGTTACCTCAAGTTTCGTGTCTCCGGTTCTGGTACCAGGACTGTAAACTTAAACCGTTTTAACACGTGCGCTGACGTGACCCAACAACTGACAGCGCGCGCCCATCACGGAGCTTCTTACCTTCGGTCCGCAGCGACAGAAACTCTCAGTTCGAACATCCAACCCCGAGCCTCGTGTCACCGCACCGGCAGCTGGGAGGAGCTACAGCCGCCACGACAGCTCCGCAGACCGGCTGAGCATCTGCTGCAACTCCGCTGAAATCCTTTAACCATATGTCTTTGCTCAAAACACCGAGCACGTGCGAAAAACGCCGAGCAGGCTCGGACGATACCAACTGTTAGCCGGGAGGGGGGGGGGGGGGGTCGACACGTGAACGAAGTTCAAATCTCATTATTTTTAAACAAACTCCGTTTTTAATCATATAATTAAGTAATCAATACGTTGTGTTATTAAAATGATTAACTTTTGTTTATTACAAAAAAAAACAAAGTAATGAATCAGCCACAAATATGGACACTTCTGAACTTCCGGCTACGCTCTTAAAGGGACAGGCTCATAAAAACAAATGTAGTACATTACATTACACGTTTACAATTTATTTTTTTATTTATTTATAAGGTTTATTTTATATAAACCCACTTTGCCCTGTTCCGAGATTAGAACCCGAACCCGTCCAAACTATGCAACACGGTTTATTATAACTTTCACCAAAAATGACGCAAACTATTATAAAAACTATAAACTATTACAAATAATTTAAAATTGTTTTAGCAGTTTTTATTTTATGCAAAATTTGTGCATCAGACACCGATGAGCTTAAATCAGTTTTTCAAACGTTCTTATTAAAAATATAAATCTAAACACAACGAAGGTAATCCTGAATTACTGTAGTTTTCCATATACAAATACAATTTTGAAATGCAGGTACGCACTCGATGTAAACAAAACACGCACCAACATAAAAATTGTCAGACTTCATCTCAATCAGCTTGTCTGTGGTCGACGCCATTGTTGGCCTGTTTGTTGTCACTTCGGCTGTTTTTGGAGATAAACACAAACTTTTTTTTGCTGCCGATCGTTAAATATCTTTACAAATATTTAAAGGAAACGTTAATTATGATTATGAGGAAAATATTGTGGTTTTGGATGTTCGTACCTACTTTGATTCCACATTTTTACTCATTTTCTACAAATAATGTCATTTTGACCTACAGAATATTAAAGTTGTCGAGTCATCGATCTTAAATCGGTCTTTTCTTGTTCCTTTAAGACGGTCCAAGATTTTAAGCTGCAATGAGCTGCACTCACATGCAAACCGCTCTCCTTTCCTTCCCTCCTGAGGGTCAAGCTGCAGAAGTTTCAATCTAGTTCATTTCATTTTTATGAAGTTGTTCAAAAAACAGACGACTTTTACAAACAAACAACGTAAACAACAAACAGAACCAGCGGCCGATGTTTACAAACACTTGAGTTTTATTAACAGAAAGTATTTCCAGCAGCATAAAAGATGATCAGCGAGATAAAAACACTGACGGAGTCGAAATTTAAAGAGCAAATATTCACGTTTTAATGAAGCTGCACGTTTACGACCACCTGCCAGATTACCTTCTGTCAGAAACGTTTACTTATTCTGGGATTAAAGAACCTCGTTAAGCTCCAGTTCTGTGCTTATGGAAAAAAAATACTCAAAGCATTTTTTTATAAAAAAAGAAAATGTTTTTGTCTCTGTAGTTTTGACCAAACCTGTTTGTGTGTGTGTGTAAACTTTCACTCTTTAGTGACTTTATAATAAAAAAGATCCCAGAAGTTTAAATTTCATCTAAATAATCTCGTTAAAAGGAGACATGTCAAATATTTAATATTTCAGAGAATAAGATGGTAATCCTCAGTCTGGGGTCTGCAGGTGTTTGGTCTGCGCTCAGAACATTCACATTTGAGCCGCAGGCCCGCGGCTCACGATGAGAACCAGAACGAGACGACGCCACAGCGAGCGAGGCGGTCCATGTGTGTCCCTGAACGACGATCTCAGATTAAAAAAATTTAAAAAAACACACTTGGTTCAGACCACAGAGCGAAGAGGAAATACAAAAATGTTAATCTTCGTCAGGATTAAAAACAAACACTTTGAGTTAAAGTGTGAATATTAAACAAAACGTCTCTTACAAAACTTTAATACATGAAAGTATAAAAACAGCTGAAGCTTCTTCGACTAACCTGCGGCGTGTAAATATTTAAAGCTAAGGAAGTTTAAATCAGAATAATAACAAAGACGGTGAAAATCCAACATCGATTTGATAAAAACAGCGGTCATCTTTGCCTCAAAGGAGTCGTTTCCTCCTTTATTAAAAATCCTACGTTTCCCAGAATGCTTCTCTGCCCTGCAGTCAATTTCTGCTTTATTCTAAAGACCCGCCGGTTTTTAAGAACCAGTTTCCACTTGGGTCACCTGGTGGAAACTGGTCACTCTGCTCCGGTGGGTTTTCCTTTTTGGGTTAAAGAAGGCCGACTGAGTATTCAGAGTCGTGTTGAGATGTGATTTATTTATTTACTTATTTTTACAGTTGCTGTGCTTTTATTTTGACACACCTTTGGTGTATCCTCCTCCAGGGGAAAAACCCAAACAAGATGAAACCTCAGTGCTTCCCAGCGCGTTTCTGTCCTCATACTTTATTTTGAAAGGATTATAAAGTGGAAACGAGGGTCACGGGTGAGCTCAGCTCCACGCTGAACCATCGGGTCGACTGTCAGGAGCAGCAGGACACAAACCTCTGCTTTATTAGAGGGTTTTAGCTGCTGGACTCGATCCTCAAACCTCTAGCAGCCGAAGACATTTTAAATGTTTTTCAGCTTTTAAACAGATTGTTTTTGAGACTTCCTGTTAATTAGCCCACAGGAGTAAAGGACGAATGAGACACTTTGTATGACGCAGGAATCACCAATTTGCTCCTTTACATGGGACAGGAAGTAGGACGGGGGGACGAAACAAGGTGGGAGCCAACATATGAATAAAAATCTAATTATTAACAAACTTTACGTGTTTTAATTAAAATCCCTAGAGTCAGTTTTTAATCCAGTTATCCACATGACTCATTTGTGAGCAGAAACAGCAGCAGCTAGCTGTAGCCTAGCCTAGGACTTTCACAACATTCCAGCCAAAATAACAGCTGAATGAAAATATGATGTCAAAGTTATAAAGTTTAAATGAACCAATTTAAATTATTTACAAGCAACAGTTGTGTTCAGACTAGCCGTTAGCTCATCAGTCCCGTCAGATTTCAACAGGTTTTTTTTTCAGTCTGAGCTTCTACAACAGGTAAGATATTGACTCATATTTTAAGATTCTGTTTAGGTTGTTGAAAGAAGAAAAGCAGATAAACGGCTCCTGGAAGCAAAGAAAATCACAAACGTCTGTTTTTGAGCCGCATTAAAAGTGGACTTCGTTCTTTTAACTTTTATTCTGAAAGATTTGCCGAGTTTATTTTAGTTTACTTGGTTCTCTTCCTGCAAACTAACCAGCAGCAACAGCATATAACGATAAAGTGCCATAAAATAAGTGTTAAAAAGTGTATTTTACTGAAGTTTGCTCCACAGCTGGATGTTTTATAAGAAAACTAAATGAAGTTTTTAGAGTTTTCTAATAAAACAGTTGAATTAAAGCAATCTCACACCAGCAAGTTCTGACTGATCCAACGAACCGAAGCAGAATTTTCTTTAAAAAAGCCGTATGTAAAAAAAAAAAAAAAAAGACACGTTGGACCTCGTTAAGAACCGCTGATGAGACGTCAGGAGTTGACGAGAAGCAGAATCTGTACTGAAAACAAACCCGGCTCAGGCGGGTCCAAACACTTGGGTGCGTGCTGCCCGGAGGCTCGGTTCTGCTCATCACTGGTCCCGAGCTTCGTACAGGAGTTTGGCCGCCTGTGGGGAAGAAAACGAAAGAGGTCATCAGAACAGTGGCGAGGCTCAGTCAGAGCCTCCAGTCCATTTTTGAACTGGACCAGAACGGTTGTCAACAAGTTAGAAACCCAAAGATTGTGAGAAACTAAACAAATTTTCACTTCAGTCACGTTTGAAGATTAATCAAATGTGACAACGTTCCTGTTAAAGATCTCACAGTGTCTCGGTTACGTGGACAACACGTCAGAGTTCGTGCCACAAATCAAAAAGTCCCAGCATCGTCTCGAACGTGTTTTAAAAACACCAAAACCATCCGAGGCTCCGGCCCTGAACATTCAGGTCCAAATCTGCCTCAATCATTTCTAACCCGAACTCCAGGACATCAGATAACGTTTGGACGTTTTACCAGCTGAGCAAACAAGAAAAAGGTCATAGCTTTTTAAAACTTGCTGCGGTGGATCAAACACTCAGAAACGACAGGAAATACTTATTTTCTCGTCATTCAGTCTCTAACTCGTCTCCAAAGGCTCTTTGACCAGAGCTGAGAAGCATTCTGAGCCTCGGTATGGTTTCTGAACGGACCGAGGTGGAGGGGAGGAGGTGTCCAAGCCAACCCACCCATGATGCACCTCTGTGCCACAAAGCAAGGTAGTAACAGAGGCGAAACAGTCCACAAGTCAAAGGTGAGAGAGCTTTGTGAGTCGGTGATGAGATGAAGTGATGGCAGCTGGTCCAGAGGGAAGAGCCGGGACGATGCACAGAAACTTTGTTTAGAGTTAAAAACCTCCGTTAACCCCGGAGAGATGAGCTGAACTGAGCTTTAAAACAAAACAAGGCGTCCGTCCCACGCTTAGTCATTTGTGAAAGCTCACATCTCCAGCTGTAGTTGGTGAAATCAGAGGACATAAAGACAAGAGTCCAGCAGTTTTAAGAAAAGCGCCTCAGCAGGTTCTGGCCCGACCCATCCTCTGCTCACCTTGTGCATGGCAGCCAGCCACAAGGCGGCCACCTTCTTGTCTTCTGCTGCCTCCAGGCGGAGCTGCTGGACGTCCTGAGAGCCCATGGGCTTGAACTGGAGCAGCATGCCGCTGGCCCGGGCCGGGCCTCCTGCAACACACACACAGCTGAGGACACCCAGAACTGGACAAACAGCTGCAGATCACTGAACAAAACCAGGCAAGGATGAAAAACATCAAACAGTGAGGAATATTTGATGTGATATTAAACGTGAATTCGTCTTCGCCTCAGAACAAACAGAAGAAACACGGAGAAACGGCTACATGAGACAAAACATGTTCACGAGTTAAAAATAAAACATCGACATGAAGACATGCAGGAGGAAGGTCTGAGTGTCAGAACAGGACTGAGGTCCTGATTAAAACCATAAATCAAAAGTTAAAAGCGTTCAACAGGTTTCCACGTCAGACGAGTTTCAGGCCGATTTGATCAAACTGAGAATAAATACTTTTCAAGATTTTTGATCAAAGTTCCATCCTGGACTCAGAGGGATTTGGGGGTTCTGGGGTTCATGCAGACATGAGGGGACAAGTGGCTCTGGACTGATGGAGGCCAACCTTCAGAGAGACACTGACTGTCCAGCAGACTGGTGTACGTGTGAATATCGTCCTCTGAGTCCAGAGGAGGCAGAACCGCCCGCCAGAGTCCGAGTAGCAGAGGAGACAGGGTGTGTTAGTCAGAGAGACAGGTTCAGCACCAAACAGGACAAAACACCAGAGAACTGTCCTCCTGTCCTCAGCTGTGGACACTAGAACAAGACAGAGTCTCACCTCCTGGACTCGTCCCGTCCGTCAGAATCTGCATGCTGGAGATCCGAGACAGCTCCACCTCAAAGTGACTCTCACCGTCCAGGAACAGGTACCTGATGACCGGGTCGGAAAACAAACAGTCTGAATGTATGTAGAGCGCCGGGAGTGAGGTCACTTCCTGTTTGGTCTGAACCAGACCGCGGGTCGGGACGGACCTACCGATGATTGTTGGAGAGGCGGCAGCTCATGGTTTCAGAGCGGTCTGAGGTCCCCAAAGTGACCATGAAGGTGCCACCTAGAAACAAAACACCAAGACCTTCAGCAGCCGAAGTCTTTGTAACAAGTTGATTCAAAGCCGAAGATTCTTAAAAGTCATAAAGACCGAAATTATTTAAAACTAAACATTTGATTCAGACCAAAAACGAAGGTCTTGCCTTACATTTAGAAAATGGTTAATTTACATAGAGAAACAGCTAAAGTATGTTTGTTTACTTAAAAACAGCTAAAGTGAGTTTGTTTTCCATGATAAATGGCTAAAGTGTGTTTGTTTATTTTGAGAAACAGCTAAAGTAGGTTTGTTTACTTTGAGAAACAGCTAAAGTAGGTTTGTTTACTTTGAGAAACAGCTAAAGTGTGTTTGTTTACTTAGAGAAACAGCTAAAGTGAGTTTGTTTACCTTGAGAAATAGCTAAAGTGTGTTTGTTTATTTTGAGAAACAGCTAAAGTGTGTTAGTTTGAGAAACAGTTAAAATGTCTTTGTTTACCTACATAAACAGCTGAAGTGGGTTTGTTTACTTAGAGAAACAGCTAAAGTGTGTTTGTTAACCTTCAGAAGCAGCTAAAGTGCATCGTTAACAAACAAAAAAAAGAATCCAAACGGGCTGTAAAAGGTCCGACCAATCGTCTCCCACCTGCGAGCAGCACTTTGAGCTGCCGGTCGTAGAACTCCACCTCTTTCTGGGACACCAGGCTGCACTCGGCGCACTGCCTGACCGGGTCCACGAAGCACATGCGGGGCAGCGCTACCTTCTTGCTGCAGCACTTGTCGCAGAAGCAGCGGCCGCAGCGCCGGCAGTGGTGCTGCGGGAGAAAAGAGATCCGTTACCCAACGTCAGGGCGGCACCGCATCAGCTATACATGCTCACCCGCCCGACAGGTGGGCGGGTGATTAAAAACATGAGTTGTGTCTGGGTCGTGTTGCAGGCGATGGAACGGACCTTTCTTCTGATGAAGTCGAACTTGGTGTCACACTGCATGCACCTCGGGCACTGGGTGGAAAACAGAGAAACAGGAAGTTACACAACATGCTGATGCTGCTCTGGTTCTGTTTGGTTCTGACCCACAACTGTTCAACAGTTTCCCTGCTGTTTGTTCTGGTTAGTCATGACTAAATAAATGATTAACTTTGTTCTGAGTCCGAACTCTAGTCGACTTCCGGTCAGCAGTTTTGTGGTTCCGGGGGGGCAGAAAAAATCCCAAACACGACGAGCAGCTGTTTGGACCGGACTGTGGGCCACAAACACACAGAACCACCGGATGATTTCCACTTTAACTGGTTTAACCCGGAAACTGGTCCCGACAGCTGGTTAGCTGCTCCTTGGACAGGTTCGGACGGGCTGCGGCCCAGTCCAGGAGACTGCTGCCATGTCAAAACACACAAACTGACCGCAGGCAGCGGGCGGAAACCACATACCGCGCAGTGCCCCTTTCAAAACAAAGGCTCGGACACCACAAACTTCTTTTATGCAGCGCTTTAAAACACCAACAGGACAAAATAACTATACATTAGAACGAAACAAAACAAAAACAATTGTCAGATGACATTAACAGTAATAAAAGAGTCAAAAAAACTTCACAAAATAAAAAAAAAAAAACAATCCACATCTGGCACGGTTAGACCAACACTAATTGTTGACAAGTTATTACCTACTAGAAATAAACCCTTTATGAAATTATTAAGCATTTATCATAAAACACACCGGTTGCTTCTATTATTTATTACATTAACTTTGTTGCGTTTACTTTGGTGAACATTTATTGCGAAAAGCCCGACCGGAAGCTGCACATTTCCGACCGCAGCATTCCTTTCTTCAGGGTCTCGTAGCTTCTCTCCGAGCCCCTCGGTCTCACCTCTTTGTCGGGGACCCACTGCGGTTCGTCCAGAGAGAAGGGGCTGTTGAAGGCACCGTTTTCCGGAACCATTCTCAGTCCGCTCAGGCTGCGGACCAGTTTCTTCCCGTCCGGAACCGAAGACATTTTGGTCGTTTCTGCTCCGTTGTTTTTCTTCTACCACTACCTCCCCATGAAGACCCACCTTCGGAATTAATGGCACTACGGTTAGCCAATCAGAGCGCAGATCTGAGACACGCCCTCAGGAAACTTGTCAAGGCGTTTAACAAATCAGAGCCCAGATCGACGGTCACGTGGTTCCTGGCATAAAACGTTTTCCTTTTTCTTTTTTAGCCTGTTCCAATGATAAAAGTTTAAATTAAAAATACAAAAAACATGTTCAAGTTGTCTTTTATTAATTAACACTATAAATATAATTCTGACAATATTTGTGGAAAAAAAATTAGCTAACACTCCAAAGTTGAACAGGAAGCAGCATTAATGTGACCTGTTTATTCTTCAAATAAAGTTACAATGTACAATTCTTTGCAGTACAAGCATAATTTCCACCCACGTTAACAAATAAGTGGTAGAAAAATAAAATAAACCTACTTGCAAGCAAGTTTATTCCTAAATTACAGTGCATTTCAAATTAAAACAAACATTTTTGTGAGATTTACATGAACTTGTGCCCATTCCTTAAACATTATCAAGTTTCTCTTGTTTACCGACACGTTAAAACTTCACGATGGTTTACAGACCACAAAAGTAGAGATAATGCCAAGCAAAGCAGCAAATAAAAGCAGGAGGACACCAGTTTAAACCAGGAACTAACTGTATTTACACAATGTTTAATATTAAATAAGTGCATAATTTCTAAAGCTGTTCAAGTGATTAGGCGGATACTTTATGTATTTATCTCATCATTCAGCCCAAAACATTTGGTATCACGGAAAACTGTGATGAATTTAAATATATTCTGATTAAGTTTCTAACCTAAAAAGCGAGAATTATCTAAACTTTAAAATGATAAGTTAAACATGCATTTATCTGGTAAAATGTTACACTTTTTGTTCTTTACTCCAAATCTTTTAAGTTCATTAATCTGGTCCCAACATAAACATTTGTGCACAAGTTTACAAATATGTCCTGAGAATATGATGAAATATCAGCATATGCTGGGATTAAGAAGCACAGATATAAGAACAAAAGGAAAGATTAGGACTTAAATCTTTTATCTTTTCACATGAAACACAAATTAAACCATCCCTATGCTTATAAAACCTTCAAATGTACACATTTACATTCAAGAACAAACAAACTGAATAAGCTAAAAGGTTGTTAGAGCGACAGTCTGAGCTTCTTTTACTTTTAAGAGACAGAAATCTGTGATTTAGTTCCAAACTTTTATGCGTTTTTCTACCAAATTAATAATTCAAGACATTGCCCTGGCTGTAGCTTTCATTAAATAATAATTTCTGACATTAAAACGAAAGAAATTCAGTTTTTCACATATTTATAGTACTTTGGTGAACATGACCCACACAGTGATATTAATATATGTTGAAGGAGAGCAGCGCTGCTGAATGCTTGTTTTTATTTACACACGTTTCATTCATCAAAGTCATGAAATGGTCAAATATGTGCCTTGGTTTTCACTTCAAAAATAAATAAAAAAGAAAAAGAAAACGGAAAGAAGCCAAAGTACAAAGAAAACGTCAGGATAACTTCAGAAAGTCCGGAGAACTGTTCATCGCGACCACTTTAAACGAAAAAGTAAAAAAACCCAGAAAAGTTTCAAGATTTTGACACATTGTGGGATGAACCAAAGATAAATCCTTAAACATTAAACTAGAATTGAATTATGACCCAAATTGTTTGAAACGAAAACGTCAGATGTAAAAATCACCTGTAAGAACATACATCAGTGGTAGTAAATATTATATACTGGAAAAGTCGTGTATTGTATATATTTGTATCTGAGGAGGACTCCATAAACAGAATGTTTTTGTTGTTGTTTGGTTTAAATATCCATCAAACAATTAATATTTATAATTAGCTCTTTTTGGTTCAGTTTTTCTCCCACAGTGGAGTTTTGTCTTAAATAAACAATAAAACATCTGTTTACCAACATCTGCAGCCTTCAGGTGTCAACAAATAATCCAACCCTGCGTCGGTCAATTACAGAACGAAGCAGAAAACAAAAACAAATAAATAAAACAAACAGAACTTCAGAGGTCAAACCTTCAAAACAACAGAAGAGGTTTAGCTCTGACATCAGAGGCTCAAATCAGACGGAACAGAACAATCTAGATCCTGTTTCAAGTGGAGCTGAGGGATGTTTGAGGTGGAGCTGAGGGATGTTTAAGGTGGAGCTGATAATGGAGCTGAGGGAGATTT